CACAGATATGACCTTTGCAAGCCTGCCTTGCGCATCTCTCTGGAGGAGAAGCTCGCTGGTGACTAAGCGAGAGTATATTAAGAGTTTCCCACACACCGTTTAGCACACAATACAGCAATTTGTATTGGTAATAAGGAGAAAAAGAAGAATAATGGAAAGAGAGAGAAAAGGCTGCCAGACTTAATTCACCAACAACGGCATCTCAAAGGGAAAAAGGTGCCCCTGAGTATCGCAATTAATTGAAATATATTTGAATTATCCACGAGAAGCAAACACTAAACCTGAATCCAGATTGCTGGAAACAGGCTGGGATATAGGTTGCTTTCCCTCACTCATATGAAAACCCACCCATTTTCTCAGTTTGCATCTTATTGTTCCACGAGTAACAGGTTTTCATTTCCTCTCTATACATTAGAGGTATTTCAAGAATGTCAGATCTCCTTCTGATTTCTATCCTTCTTTCAAAATGCAGAATGTTTCTTGTATGTAGGGAGGAAGAGCTGGAAATGAAGCCATTTTGGTTAATATTGTGAGTAAACATTCAAAGTGATAAGTTTCATTATGGCATTCCCTTTCTTTTATTATTTGGCACTTCTCATACATACGTGTCATTGTATCTTGTTCTTATTCATTCCTCTTCCTAATTTCTCTGACACCCTAGCTGTGTCACTTTTTGTGGGCATCTTCCTCCCCACAAGCAGCCCCCAACTTTGGCTCCTACGTCACACGTATTCCGTTACCCTCTCTTCTTTTTAGCATTTGAATCCAATTTTTTTCTCCCCTCCATGATTCCTTTTCTACTTTCATTAGGCGAAGGCTTCACATACGTGTGTGTGCACACGCATGAGCACACATTTCTAGCTAGACTTCCCATATTAGAGAAAGCATGCACTGTTTGTTTTTCTGCATGTGGCTCACTTAACCGACTACGATGATCTCCATTTGTGTCCACTTTCCTACAGATGCCATGTTTACATTTTCCTTTGGGGCAGAAAAATAACTCACGTTTATCTTATTTCCTGGGGTCGAGGGTGCACATGAGTGTGTGCATATGCATCCACGCATACTCATTTACATCTAGACTCCCCATCTTAGAGAAATCGTGCACATCCACTTTGATTCTGTTTCTTAGGGACCACACAGAGTGCAGCAATCAACATGAGTGTGCATGTGTCTCCAAGGTGTGTTGATTTAAAGTTCCCGCATATATACCTGGTCGTGATATAGTCCTCTTTTTAGTTTGTTGACGAAATTCCACAGTGACATCCATTGTGGCTATTCAGCATAGATTCTAAGCAACGGTGTACCTCTCTGCCCCTTTCCCCCATCCCCCTGTCTTCACCAGCATACACAGTCATTTGTTTCCTTGATGACAACCAATCTAAGAGGTGAGAAAATCACACGTCAGTTGTACATTTTCTCTATGGCTAAGTTTTGAACATTTCTTTCAAGTATCTATTGGCTATTTGTATTACTTCTTTTGAGAAGTATCTGTCTAGTTCATCAGCGCATTTACTGACTAGATGGAGTTTTGGTGCTGAATTTTTGCAGTTTATGTATTTTGGATATTGATTTCCTGACTGATGTGCACTCAGCAAAGATTTTCCTCTCATTGTGTAGCCTGTCTTTTTACCTAATGGTTCTGGAAACCAATCTATTAATATAATAGACTACTCTGTCACCAGCAGCATAATCTTGGAGATGTGTTCTGATAAGATGTTTTGTTTGTTTTTCGAGACAGGGCTTTTCTGTGTAACAGCCTTGGCTGTCGTGGAACTCGCTCCATAGAACAGACTGCCTTTGAACTCTCAGAGATCCTGCTTCTGCTTCCTGAGTGCTGGGATTAAATGTATATGCTACCATTGCCTGGCCCTGATATTATTTTTAAAAGCCTAAAATTTAGAAGAATTTATTTCTAATTTTTATTTAATTACTACTATTCAACCAAGACATTTATCAAGTTCTGCTTAATTTGGTCCTGAAAAATTCTCATTGTCTCTGACAGGACCCAGTCTACGTGAATGGCCTTTGGAAGAGGAGTGGATTAATAGACAACCCTGACTTCCATCTGTGCTCCATGAAGGGTAAACACAAACACCCAGTGCTTCAGGGATAGTTTAAGATGATGCTATGTTCTTAGTTCAGAAAACAGCTGGCTAGCACTCAGGAGGCATTAAGGGTGGTTTGTAAGTGAATTTTCCTTTGTGGAGTAAAAGGAGTGGAAAATTTTTACGTAAGTGGGAAAAGGGTGCTCTTTAGGGAGAAGGAGGGAGGAAAACACAAAAGATAATGGGAGGAGGGTCAAGGGGAATAGCAGGATGCAATTTGTCTAAGAGAAGAAATAAGAAAATGGAGGGGTTTTTAGGGAGGAAAATAAATACAGAAAAAGGAGGGGTGGGTAAAACACCAATAAGGATTTTCAAGAAGCCACAAGGAAGCCCACTGTTAATAATAATAAAAGAAACCTGTAGCACATGTAATTCCATGTATATAAACATATATACAGGGTTTTAATGACTTTTTCTCATCTGGGCCAAAGGTGCTCCCTCCAGATGCCAAAGATCACATCACAAAAGCTTCAGTAACAGACATGAGAATGCCCTCTTTTTAGCTGTTGAAAAGGGCTGTCCAAGAGACTCCCCAGACATGCAACTCATTGCTGCTGCCATGGTTACCTCCCAGGGGTGGAAGTTATGTCCCGATTGCTGAAGACACCACACACTTCAGAAACAGGATTCAGAAACTCCTAAGCTGGAGCTGACTTGAAGGTTTGCCCTCCTTGATGATCAGATTTGATGGTACCAGAAGGCATCACACAAGCTTCTAAACGAGGGAGGCAACCAACAGCCCTACCCAACTGTGATGCCAACGAACCACATCTACAGAACAGCATGGCACAATAACTCCATGGGAACAGGAGTGGCATTTAAGAACCAATAGCTCTGTAATTGGACTTAGTCCTGCTAAACAAGAGAGAAAGTATTCCTGGTGTTGGAAGCCTGGCTAACCTCTCGGTGCTAGTGACACCATGGTCTTTGCAGGAGAATCTACAACTACTAACTTACTAAACCAGCATAATCTCCAACAACAGCCTATAAACGCATTTACTTATACCCAAAGGTAAGTGTAATCTTCACCTCTTATCAGGAAAACGTCTCTTTGCAACAGATGGAGACCACTTCAGAAAATTACAACCAATCAAAATGCAGAGCTGTGGAGCTGAGTCCCAGTGGATTCATCTAACAAATCCATCTGCAGGTTCAGGGACTATTGCAGAAGAGGTGGTTGGAAGACTATAAGAACCACAGGATCAGGGAGTTTGCTGTGAGAATGTGTCTCCTAGTAATATCAGAAGCTATACCCCCAAAGTATAATTAACATGATTGCCCAAACATGAGTTGAACACCAATGGGCATGATGAAGTAGGTGGGAGAAAGCCCATGAGGCCTCAACTCTACACAAAGTACTATGGACAACTGAGATTTGCTGGGAGTGGGAGAGGTGGTTTTTCCCGTGGAAGAATATGCCAGTTGGTTTTCTAGTACCAAATGGTCAGCCCTGAGAGCATGCACACAACTAACATTGTATGGACTGAGCAGGGACCACTCAGGAATACACATGCACACAATAATAATGACTGAAGAAAGAAACCGTAATTTGAAGGACAGTGGGGAGGGACATATGTGAGGGTTTAGCAGGAGAAAATGCAAGGGAGAAATGTTGTAATTACATTATAATCTCAAGAATGAAAGAAAAACAATTTTTACACTATTCTAAAGCTTGTTTTGTTCCATATTACTCCCTTTTGGAGTCTCATAAAAGTATAAAATGAAAAGAAATGCGATTTTTGTGTTGTACAAAATACCCTATATATTGTAAACGTCATATTAGGGTCTAAGTTCCAAATGACTGTTCTATAAATTCTTTGTAAATGCAGGGAAAATTTTACCTGAAAGGAAAATGCATTATTCACAGCACACCCTTTCCAGACTATTGGAGTCTGCATCTTCATGACTTTGGAGCTATTTTACAATCCTGTAAGTTGAAGATAACACATAGCAATGCGAAATAATTTTACCTTATCCATGTGTAAATAAGTTATGTCTAGGGAATGTTCACTGATCTGTTGCCTGTATTGTGAAAACAGCTAGATTCTCCTCCATTTGTTCTTCTGTTTCAATATCCAAGCATTTCCAGCAATTAGTAATTCTCTGGACTTTGGTCAGTACTTTGATCTGACTGTGACGCTTTACTGGTTTCTTCATTGATAAATTTTAAATAATGAATTAAATATAATAGTCTGCATTGCTTTCTATTTGTATGATAGTTGTGAGTTTTACTCATCCTTGTTTGGAAGCTATTTATAATGATAAAAAGGAAAAGTGGGGTTTTTGAATGGAAAGTTTTATAGTAATGTGTCCATGGTCTCTGCTCCTACAGGCTGCTCACTGTCTTCTCTTCTTGATCGACTGATGCATTGAATTCTTCTCACTTTGAATCTGCTGCTGTTCCAAGTTTCTGTTTCAGTTATCTTTTTCGAAAGTTTTATACTATGATAGCCCAGACTGACCTCAAGCTTGCCATCCTCCTGCGTCAGCCTCCAGTGTGCTGAGACTATAGCAATGTGCACCACACTTATTTTATTATTATGACAATCAAAAACTATTTCCTCCTGAGTGGTAAATCAATTTATTAATTGTCTATTTAAACTTACAATGTTAAAACAAATAATTCTGTTAACATTTCCTATTTTCAAAAATGATATATTTTTACTGAACATCCCAAAATAAATCATAAATGATAGTCTATGTGTAAATTTAATTTTGTTTTCCCCAAAAGGCACAGAAACCCCCAGATAACTTATAAGTACCATACATTTCCACATTCATCTCTTTTGAAAGTTAGTATTTCATTGAGACCATTTACTGAAAACCATTTTTGTTATATTCAGTGTTACATTCACGATAGCCGATAGATTAAGAACAGATTCTTATACTTACTGTGCCCCACCAGAGAGCATCCGCGTATGTAGAGAACTCTTTATTGGCGTCCTTTTCCACCAGATAGACAAGAAAAGATGAGAAGATAAGAACCAGAAATCCTATGTACCAAGCTGTGATTAATTCCTAGGGATAAAAGGAAAGATACATTTTAAGGGTAGGAAGAATCTTTGAAAAAGTAAATAGGAAATCCATGTACAGGTCAATCATTTTCCTACTTCTAGGAGTATATGCAGGTTGTTAAAGTAATGAATGCATTATGTAGCAGGGCCCAAATGGCTTGAGCCACAGTTTGAAGTAACTGCCTGTGCTGTTTATTAAATATTATTGTAATCAATGGGAATATTTTTTTCCCAAAAAGTTTGCTGTATAGTTCAGAGAGCACATTTTTACCTTGCTGTGAGCATAAACCACTGAGCCCAGCAACTTCCAAGTGCCTCCCCTTCTGTCCATGCGCACCATACGCAGGATCTGCAGGAACCGGAGACTTCTGAGAGCCGAGGTGGCAAAAATATTACCCTGAGTTTTTGCAGAAACAACAGCTATGGAAGCGATAAGAACAATGGTATCTGAAAGAAACAGGTTGAGACAGCCGTAAGTCACATGACTAATACCTTTAATGTTACTCTTTTCTTTTTTTTTCTTTCTTTTCTTTTCTTTTCTTTTCTTTTCTTTTCTTTTCTTTTCTTTTCTTTTCTTTTCTTTCTTTTTGGAAAGTTAATGAACCTCAGTTTGAGGCCATAGTAAACAGAACAGAACACCCAGCCTTACCAGCACTTGGTCAGCAGCCTATGACTGCAGAGTGAAAAAGACCGTAACACCATAACACGACATTCCTGTCACTTTAACCCTGGTCCCTTGACCTCTCTGCACCTTTACCTGTACAATTCTGAATCCCATAACCTCCAACAATTTGAACAACAACCTCTAGAGGGTTCAGTGTCTTGGGGGAGCTGCAGGGTTAGTAAAGCCCTCTTTTAATATAACCCTGCTTTCATTAATTCCTTAGTCTGCACCAAAAGCTCCCAATTCAGTCTCTAACACCATGGCTCTGGCTCCCTGGCTGACCAGAGAGATGAATCCATGCACTCAGGAAATGTCCTACTTGGTGTAAAAAATGCTTCTTATTGTTTTTGCAAACAATATAGCAACCTCTCTGTGTCAGGATTCTCTCCTGTTGTGGAGTCTGCAATTGTGCCTACTGTTTAAGGAAGGGCTCTAGTAATCTCAATACTCTGGGCTCTGAATATGCTCTTTTAACTGGTCTGTTGGTTAGGGGAGGGCTTGGAGCACAAATCAAATATCACCTCTGTTGCAAGACAGTATGCAGTTTGCATGGAAATGGATACTTAATGTTTGATATATTGGCATTCGGCTTAAAAAAATCAGCTCTTTTGTAATTGAAACAGGCTAAAAGGAAGAGGATTCTGAGGCAACAAACACAGGGAGACAAAGGATGGCATCCTGTCAGTATTCACGTGTCCTCCATATCCTTAAGCCAAATTTCCTTCTTGCTTCAAGTAGGTTGTACGTGTGACTAGGCTTCCACACTCCAGGGCTGAGTTGTGCTCCATGGGTACAGCGTGTGGCATTTGAAATGTTTCTATGATCCTCAGGAGTCACGGATGTACAAATGTGTCTTCTTCGTTCAGCTTTTCTTTCACGATGGTGGGACTGTTTTGTACAAACTGACAGGACCCGTCTGACTAACTCCTCTGCTGTCTCTTCTCAGGTTCTTAGTCGGAGAGAAAGGACCAGTGATTGGCAGTGCAAGGATTAGCCACAGGGCTCTTCCAGTCAGGCCTAAACTCTACCTTGTGAGGAGGGCCCGAGAGCCTGAAATGCATCCTTGAGTTTATGCTCTTGAGAAGGTACAAAATGTGTTGATGCAGATACCGAAGATGTATTTTAAGTGAGTAGAAGCCATCTGCACATGTGTGACATAATCTTATTTACAAAGCATGTACATCAGTTAGAGCAGGCTAGGGAGCACATGCGACTTTGCCTAGGCAGTCACCACTAATTAGCTGTAGGGGGCCGACAACCAGGTGACATTAGAAATGGGAACTTCTTATTTTTGAAATTATAAATTTCCCACAATGTTGAAGTTTTATTACACAGATGTCTAATTTGAAATCAGAAAACAAATTGGGAAAATTACGTGTGCACAAGAATCATGCTTCTTACAATCTGGAGAGACTCTGACAATAGTGACTTAAAAAAGACACTGCTGTTATGACCTTAGTGGATAGTTTTGCTTTCATTTTATTGTCTGCTTGCATATTGTCAAGTACGCACTCCATTATTTCTGTACTAATGTACTCCAAACACTGGAAAGAAACAAATGGCTAGTCGCGCTGCACAATACGCAGGAGACGAAACTGACTATCATGCCTGGCATGTTTTATAATTTAATGACTGCATGTTTAAAAATAGTTTTAAATGTTTTGTGTGTGTGTGTCTGGGTCTGTGTGGAGTCATGCGTATGTGAGTGCAGATAGATACCCACAGAGACCAGCAGGTACTGGATACCCAGGAGCTGGACTTACAGGCCATTGCAAGCCCCCACCTTGGCTGCTGGGAACTGTACCTAGTTCTCTGTGAAGTCTTTACTGATGCATGATCTCTCTAGACTTCAAATTTATTTCTGAAGTTATTTTGGAGATTAACTTACTTTTATTTTACACATATGACTGCTTTGACTGCATGCATGTCTGTCCTTGACATGTGTGTCTGTTGTCTAGAAAGGCCAGCAGAGGACAGGAGCAACCCTGGAACTGGAGTACCAGATGGTGGTGAGCTACCACGTGGATGCTAGAACCTGAGTATGGGCTCTCTGCAAGAACAGCAAGTGTTCTTAGTCACCAAGACCTTTCTGGAGCCCCACAGACTTATCTTAATTGTTATTAAACCTATTCATTAGAAATTGAATCTCATTTTCCAGATAAGACATGAGGTGTGGGAATGAATATATTGAATTTTGAAAATCAACTTTCAATCCATTAGACTAATACCTCAAAGAGCATGCTGTGGAGTTAGCACGTTAGAGGTAAACTAGAGAAAGTAAAAAGAACACTGTTAGTCGGAAGAAATTTTAAGATTAGTCATACAATGAATCATACTCTAAGTGTCTGAAGTCATAAAATATGTATAGGCAGCTACAGATTGGATTCAATACTCTCACTGTAATTCAGGTCAGAAGAGGAGGCCAGAGTTCAGTAAAATGAGTGGTTAAATGGCAACCAGAGAACCCACTATTTTCCTATCGGTACCACAAGCAGTATTTCCCAAGGTAGTATGAATGTTAGGAGTGATCTTCGCTCTTATTCATATATCTATGACATTGCTGTCTGTAAGTTTATAGACTGGAGATTCCGCAGGATTGCATCTTTGTTATCTTCTTGTTTTTATTTTAGTTTTGTTTTACGTTTTGTTTTAGGTAACCCAAGAACTGTTTTAAATCACCTAAGTAATTCTAACAGCACATGAAATGTGAGACTTGCAGATCGACCTTAGATAAACAAATACATAAATGGCGCTTAGATAATACATCTCATTAAGATTCCTAATGCAAGGCTGGTGAGATGGCTTAGTAGGTAAAGGTACTCGCTGCCCAAGCTTGATGACCTGGATTTGATTCCCAGAACCCAAGTGGTGGAAGAATGGACTCCCACAAGCTGTCCTCTGACATTAACATATACTGTGGCAACCCCTCAATAAATAATAAATAAAGGAATAAAAAACCCATACTGCTTTGTAAGCTAATTAGACTATATCAATCAGTAGAAGTTGAAGAGAGATACTTCGCCTGAGTGAACACTTGCCCTCCAGAAGAATTGGGTTATTACATAAAAATATCAGGGCAGGAGTGGATACATCTTTAACAAGTTTTTGGCCAGAGAGCACTTTAAAGGTCCCTGAAACAATACAAGCTTTTCTCATTGCTCTTGGTTGCTCAGAATAGCTAGCTGGTAAGATTCTCTTGCTAAAGACACAATGTACATTGGTAGCAGGATATGGAGACTTCAAATTGGAGCTGACCTGAAAACATCTTCACTGCTGACTAACTTTCATAGTGCTGGAGTATATTATGCAGGCCACTGGGAGGAAAAGGACAATAATGTTGTCTTATGACCAACCCTATATCCTAAAATACTAGCTTTCCAGGCAAGACATGCTACTGGTACAATAGTGGCACAAAGGTTGTGGGGTAACCAACTGCTTTAGGATTGGATTTGAGGCCCATTCTTGTGGCATAATGTCCCACTGGCCTGGTGCCAGAGGCATAGCAAGCAATCTCCACTAACCATGAAACCCCACTGGGCTATACCTGGCCTAGGTCTGGGAGTTTTCACTCAGCCCCTAATCCATCCTTTAAGTTACAGATACCTTTTGTTGCCCTATGTAAATCTTGTCTGAGAGTTTCCCATGGATGCAAAGTCTATGCAAAGTTTAGGGGAACCTGGCACACCATGGTGTCTCATGAATCAGGCATTTGCACCTGGCAGTTGTATTTTCAGAAACTTCATTCAGGTTGTTTGGAGCATATGGAAATCTGCTGGATAAGTGTAAATATAACAAAAAATAAAAATGCCAGGAGGCGAAGAAAGGGACTTCAGTTCACGGAGATTGAGCCCTCTGCAGCCACAGAGGCTAAGTTAATTCTCAAATGTCTCTGAGTCTTCATTTCATGGACCAGTGTGAACCCACGCACCCGCACTGAGTTACTCGCGACAAGCTCTCCTGGAAGGAATTTATGTCTGGCACTGTAAAATTTAATCAAAAGCTCATGGCTTAAGAAGTCATAGGCCCTAAAGAGGAGCCAACTACCACAGTTTTGCTAAATGACATGTCATTAGATTGTCTTCTAAATATTTATGCTTACGCTCACAGATTAGTGCTGCCCTCAACCTTTGGCAGGGAGAATTTTCTTTTCTAGTCAGTAGCTAATGCAGAGTTTCATAATCACGCTCACAGCGTCAGAATCAAGGACTCCTGAGTGCTCAGCCTGAAATGGGACATCTCTATCAACACCATCTGAGGATCAGAGAGCATCACAAAAGAGGGAACGGAAGGAACCGATGAAACAAGATGGGAGGGTGCTGCAAACACTTTGTTCTAGACATGGCATGGCTACTGTGCTCACAGCCTCTCTCCGGCTATGGCTGCCAGCTCAGGATCAGTCAACAGGATCAGTCAACAGGATCAGCCAACAGGAGGACGAACTAACTGAGCTCCACTATTAACTACAAGAAAAGAAGAGGACAAAGGAAACACTGGGATATATGGAGGTGCCTAGGGGGAGTGGGATAGAAAAGTCGGGGGTTCCTGGGTAGAGTGGGTGGGGTTCGAAGGTGCAGAAGACCAAGATTCATTGTTTCACTCTATAAAACAATTGAAGCATAAATACATTCTGTTGAAAATATTAAGATATATTTTGAAACGTTGGAACTTTGTGTTTGTGAAGATGCTCCATTTTAGTGCCAGTAAAAACTACAGATAGCTCCTACAGGCGAGTGATTAATTGTACACAGGGTTATTAAAAGGTATTCAGATTCATTTGTTTATT